ACACTGAGGAATCTGCGATTCAATCTCACTTCATCTTTTATCTTCTACTACCTTCTGCTTTCGTCACCGACCCGCGGGTTGAGAGACTGTGTATTTAACAGTATTTGAGCCTAAATGAACGATGCTATGAACAAGACCGCTCATGACGATGCGCCTGGAAACACGCCGTCGTCCGTGCCCAATCGCGAAAAGATTGGAGTGGCGGAAGACCATGAATAGAAGCACACTACCGTTGCCCACGAAAGAGGCGACGGTACGAGCCAATGGCCCGAAGTCGGAGGTGACAACGTATCTGAGCTACCAACGCTCGGTGAATCTGCATGGGGGCTTTATTGTGTGGCTGTGAGAGCGACACGCATAGATACGGACTGACACTGAGGAAACTGCGATTCAATCTCACTTCATCTTTTATCTTCTACTACCTTCTGCTTTCGTCACCGACCCGCGGGTTGAGAGACTGTGTATTTAACAGTATTTGAGCCTAAATGAACGATGCTATGAACAAGACCGCTCATGACGATGCGCCTGGAAACACGCCGTCGTCCGTGCCCAATCGCGAAAAGATTGGAGTGGCGGAAGACCATGAATAGAAGCACACTACCGTTGCCCACGAAAGAGGCGACGGTACGAGCCAAGGGCCCGAAGTCGGAGGTGACAACGTATCTGAGCTACTAACGCTGATACGCGGCCTAGCTGGCCGACTCGACCGACTGAAAGAATCAGAGACCAAGATCGAGAAAAAGCTTGCCGGCGGGAGAGCCCGTGAACACGTTGACGCTCCGATGACACCTCCTATGAACTCGTGCTTGTTCGCATCGAGCCTCGGCCGTGGCGCGCGAATCCACATGGACTCACGGGATGGGTCTCCGCAGACACCTGTGACGAACACGCTGCGGAGACCAACAGTACAGCCGCAGTATTTCGCGCAGCAGCAGCCGGTTACGGCCTGCTCCTGTCACACTTACAACGACTGTATGCAGCGGCACAAGAAGATCCGCCCGCGCAACCTGCACAGCCTGAACAGCCGCAGCACGCACAGCAGCCTCCATGAGAACCGCAAGTACAGCCGGGAGCGGAAAGGTTCCCTGGGCAGCACCAAGCAGTGGTCTGGTATCCAGATGCGTGCCAGAAAAAGCTGGCAATTCGTCATTTTGACGGGAATGAACTGTCCGTCGGTCTCGGGTCGACGCCGTTTTGAACTCCAAGTTGCGCTAGGCCAGTCGGCGTGTGGTTTTGTGCGGTCCGTTGACGTGAAGGTGGCCTGCTTGGACACTATCTTACGGGAACGGCTGAGCGCTACTACAATAAACAAGTGGAGCTCTGGTGGTCTCAACTTCCTACTTTACAATACGTTATGGAACGCATGTTAGAGGCGTTTAAGACCAACATAACACCGGCTCAGGCCATGAAACTGTTTACAGCGTCGAAGGACGCAAAGAGGACCTGGCTAAAATACAACATGTACTTTGTAGCGATATCCAAGGTGTATGGCGGAGGAACCGATTACCTGATTTTGAACAACATTGCCTAGTACGCCTCGGTGGAACTGTGGACCGTACTGATGGCCAAGGTGGATGCGACTAGAGCCGATTACTTGCAACAGGCGGAGGAGCTGGTGCATTTCGCGCAGTTGTGGGCACTGGAGCCCACCAGATACAATAATCTTGGCAAGGAGATGATGAATGCCGTGGCGAGCGGTGAGGCAAGGAAACGAGACAATGCCACGAATGTGGTGAGGTAGGGCATCTGCGGGCTGTATGCCCGGAACGAGCTGGGAACCGTTTATTCTTCCAACCGAGAGTTGAACACTCAGTGACATCGTAAAAGGCTTACCCGTGCCTGACACCCTTCCGCTGTTGAGACCACGAGGATTCAAAACACCTGCTAGCTTTGCTCGTGCTAGTAGTGTGCTCTTATTTTTACTGGTTGGCCTATATAAGTAGTTTACAAGGTTCAGTTTGTCCCGGTGCAAGGGCAGAACTGGGGTCTTCAGGTCCGCCTAAACGATCGTTTACTATCCTCGTAGACGTATTGTTGTGGGAACGTCCTAACTACATTTGTACGTGGGAATTCCAACACCAGAACTGGTGCCGCGACCCGGGAACAGATTGTGATCATTGTGAACTGTTTGAATGACCTTCCATTTTACGAGCTACCAAGAGAGGAAGAACAAGAAACGAAAACAAGAAACATGGCGAAAGGACAGCCGACGGTACCAGTTACGCCTGCCAAGTCTGGCGGGGCTCGCAACGCGAGTTCAAGCCCGGTGGCGCGCTTTGCAGCCGCCACCGCGCTTTCCGTGAGCTTCGACGACGAAGCGGGCATCGGTCCTGACGCCCACGATTACGAAGATTACGAAGACAAGAGGCCGACTCCAGAGCCAGGCGCAGCGACGCCGGAGACGGCCACGCTATCATCTGGGCTGAGCGGGGCGACCAGGTCCCTTTCGAGGAACCTCGCCGACGAGCCCGATGATGTTGCGGGACCAGAACCGGCCTACGAGGAGTATGACGATGGGACCGAGGGTTCTAAACCATCGGTGGCGAGTGTAAGGCATTCAGAATTGCTGAAAGCACCTCGCCCACCTATCAACGGTGATACACCAGCCGCCAAGCGCGTTTTCGACCGCGTACAAGCGCTGATGCAAAATGATGAGTGGATGCAGCTGTTCAAGCCCATCCCCAAGAGAAAGGCCGACTGGCCCGCGCTTGCGCAGGAACTTCAATACCCAGTCAACTCGGTGTCGACTAGCCAAGTTGCCGAGGATTCAGTCTCGCTGCTGTGTCGCTGGGCTCGAAATGAGACGTACTATCGAAGAGTTCGTTCCAGATTGGATTCTACAGAAGGCCGGAATTGTCTCTCCGGATGGGGTAAAAAGGGTATCTGGAAAAGACCTGTGGTGGCTGTGAGCCTTCACGCGGGAAAAAAGCAGCGCCGGAGTTAGAGTCAACCGATCATTCAAGATGAAGATCCGTCCACGATTACACTGCCGCGGACACCCCAACGACACGACCGTACTCCTCCGACCAAGCGTGAAGCTGAGCCTGGTGCCTTTGGCACTACCGAAGCTTCACCGTACTTTCAAGACTCGCACATGGCTACGCCACGTTCGGAAAGCTGTATGCAACGTGTTTACGCTGGTAACGAGGGTTCGTTCGGTCGCCGAGGTGGTCCGCGAGCTCCCAAAGGTGGTGCCGGACGTCGTCAAGTCGACAGCGATGGCTCGTCCAGTGACGATGACATTTTGGTGCGTGCATTCGACGAGGAAGATTCTCAAGTCGAGTTGATGCGTCAGAAGAATGAGCTGGCGACGATGAACGACGTGGACCCGACACTGAGGATTGAAATGGCGTCGCACCGACCATTGGATCGCATCACACCATTCTCAGGCTCTCGTAACAAGAGCGAGAACTGTATGTAGTGGCTCCGTGGGTTCGTCTATGAAATGACTGGGACCCACACAGATGCCGACAAATGGTGCATTCCATTTGAGCTTAGTCTCCGGGACGAAGTTTCGTCAACCTACGAAGAAGACGAAGCGCAAGTGGAAGCTGTTGAGCGACGTGTTCATCCGCTACTACTGCTCGCAGCTCACGCAGACGGCACTGTCACGTTACTACTCTGCAAAGCGGGAACGTAACAAACATCTGTGCAAACACATAAACAGGCTGAATGGCTACACTCGGACCGCCCGTCTACACTTCGAGAAGAGTGGTCGCGACGCGAGTTAACACGTACAACAGTTCCTTGCAACATGCGATGATGACAAGTTGGCTGAGAGCCTTTACCACGCTCGAGTCGCCGACATTCACGAGCTCGAAGAGATCATCGAAAATGCTTTTAAGGGCAAGAAGAGAATGGCCAAGCGTGACAGTGAGTACCGATACTCCAAGAGTCGTGACGCGTGACGCGACGATGGGTACGCCCGCAACAATCGGCGTGATGACCGTCCCCGCGATGGCAGCCGCAACAAACCAAGAGTGACGCTCATTGAAGCCACGGTGAATGACCTACTAGCTGAATTAAAAGGTCGTGAAGCTGCTCAGGGAGGCGCCGAGTATTCAAACGAAGATCCGAACGCTTGCAACGATGTCCAAGACGAGTACAACGACTTTCAGCCCGATAATACGGATGGTGATTTCTCATTTGATGAAAAATGACAGATACCTCGCCGCTGCTAACGAGAATGAGCGCCGTGCAGCTGCTGAAGGCACCTACGCACGTTCAGACAACCGTCAACCGCGTGGAAACACGCCCTGATGGCGAGAATGGCTTCAATCAAGATCGCCGAGGCGGTGACCGTGTGTTCAATCAGTACCAACGCGGTCGAACGTGACTTCAACCGCGACAACCAACCGCTCACAGTACGGACCATGCGC